GTAAAAAGAAAAAAATTATATTATTAAAGATTACGAATCTTGATCGAATATCTTAAAGATTCATTTCTATATATGAATCAAATCATAAATTGAGCTCTTCCCACATTTGTAACCATACATAAGCCATTTACCTAATGGAGAGAGACTCTTCATCTGTACATACATAAGCTGTAGCGTCATTCGCCAACACAATTCACGTCAAAGCAGTCTTTTTCCACAAAAATATTCCCACCAAATTACTCATCAACAACCGAACCTTTAGAAGACTGTTGCCGAAGCAAATCATAAAAGTACAACAAAATGATATGGAAACAAGTAAAGAAGAAACATGCTGGATTTACTTGAACAGTAGCAGAACAGGAGATGTTGACTCTATTTCCCACCACAGTTTGGACACTTGTTGAGCAAGACTGAAACACATCTCTTCACACGAGCAAACGACGCAACACTACCACATCCTGTTGCTAAAATGATGAGTCTTACACCGACAAATGAGGTTGGGGTGGCATTACAGAGAGGCCAGAAACACTTTGACGAAGTGGAAAAAGGGATTCCTTTTGCTTCTTTTTCGACGGGAAGCTGGATTGCCGACAACAATGATTTTGCATGAATGAATGGGTGGGTCATCTGCAGTGGGTCTGTGACCGCCCATCTTTTGATGGATGGGTCCTCTTAAATGACATGGACTTCTTTTTTCGAACATATGGTCTGCTCTGACCTCAAAGAATCGGGAACTGCGTACGGCTCCCCCCCTTACCCTGATGACTCAAAGAACAAGGAATAAAGTCATCACCTTATGGATATCACCACCCCCATTAATTCCATAAAGGTCTGCCTTTTCCCCTTCCACATCTCTCCCCCCCCTCCCTCCCTCCCTCTCTCTTTCCATAAAAGCTTAGTAACTGAGTTGAACTTCCACTGACGACTGCGGCACAAATAACTGGTTTAGCAGAAACGAATGATCGTAAACTCCTCTTAATCAAACATACCGTAGAGACGTTTTCGTTATGCATTTGGCTTTTCTTTGACAACCAAAACGTACTGTAAAGATGCATAGTTTGAATAGATTCTTAACTTGTTAGGGGCAGCATCGAATGGTCCTCCTTAGCGTGCCTTTCTTTGCATGGAAAGCAGAGCTCCACCATCTCCTTTGGTTTTTTCCTCGCCTTCCTACCAAGATCACTCTGCATTCCCCAATCATATTACTTTGTTGGTTGTATCACTAGAACCCACAACCAAGCAGACCGCGAAGATAAAGAGAGTAAAAAGAAGTTTGACCATCTACCAATCCGAAAGAAAGAGATGACCATCGAATGTATTCATACGTCGCTACCTTCTTATTTGCACCGGCAGGAGAAAGGGAAGAGAAGAAGATGGAAGAATCTAATTCTTTATAAAGTTCCACATGTAGACGCAAGTACAAAGAAAGGTAAAGCAAATTAAAGAAGCACTTAAGGCCATGCATCATCAGTCCCATTCTTGCATTGATTTCAGAACATGTTTGGCTGATGCACATCTGCCGGTGAAGAGAAATGCAACCGTCTCCTGCAGCTCTAAATGCTGAAAGGCTTATGTGCAATGGGTTGTTCTTTTGAAACCAGTCATGACCACAGTCAAAAGCTTGGTCTAAGATGGTCCAAAAGATACAAAGGACAGCTCTAATAATTAGAAAGGCAAAGGTACTGTGGAACGCAACAAAAGTGAAGTGGTGTTGGAAGGAAGAAAATGCAGTGCAACATAAAGTAAATAAATAAATAAAAGAAATTCTTTCTCCAAACTTATCCATCGATCACCATATAATAAAAATCGAAGAAACCACTCGAATGCATGCTAAAAGTGAAAAGAAGTGAAGTGCAACTTGTACCTTGCTATCTTTCCTTTGTTTTGCGATGGAACCACTTCATGTGTCTTCAAAGTAAAGAAAGCAACGTCATAAAGCCGCAATACGGGCATTATCTGCCCTAAAGATCTCCTCATTTTAATGCGGTCTACAGTACGAGGCCATGTGGGAGATAAAGAACAACCATTTGCAATGACTTATGCTGGGGTTTTTTTTTGCATAAATTAATGTTATATTGTTCCTGCATAATCATATTTCTTTTTCGCAATCAAATGTGCTCTTCAGTTTAGGTTAGTAAAAACTTTGATACCTTTTCAAAACCAAAAATCTCAGATGGATGAATTTACTTTTAATTCTCATGTGTCTTTTGATCGAAGTAGTACATTCGTTAAATCCTTATAAATCAATTTTATATTTTTATCCACCTTCAATATACACTTAAATCAAAATGTAATTATAATTGATATAAATAGAGTTTTTATGAAGCCTTTTAATCTTTTTTTTGGGATGCATGTTCGTAATAAAAATCACAAACACATCATATATTGTTGAATGGTTCCTTTAATTATTAATTTCCCTTTTCCAATTACAGTCTAAAATTTGTTCCATTAGTAATTCAATTTCTTGTTTTCATATGTTAACCTTGATTGAATTAAAATTAAGATACTTTGTTTAAATATAAAGAAAGGATCTTATTTCCTCATAGGTTCCTGATCCTACAGGCCATCCTTAGATAAATTATTGGGCCTTTGATGGGCCTTCGTCTTATTGGGCTCTCATCAGCAGCACAGGGCCTAAGCACCACGAGGCTGGGCCACACCGGCGAAATCTTCCAAGATCTGATAGATCTAATTCTTTAAAAGCAGATGTTGGGCGAATTTTCGGATTTTTTTTTCAGATCATACCGCATTTTATAGCTAAACCTATCTTGCGGATGAAAGAAATAGGTTTCGTATTAGCTTCTTCCAATCAATTTTCCGAATAAGTATGGTAGTATTTTGATCAAAAGATTCCAAAAGTCGTAGTATGTCAGATGAAATCTTGTGCTGAAAGGACAACAAGACAACGCAGATAGATAGAGGCCTGTTAGGCCGTACCCCATGTTTTAGGCAACACATGTGAAAAGAACTACAATACAAATCTATGACGGCTATTCCAATAATGCCCGAATAAGCTTCGGTGAACTCCATCTCCAGCCGTGTATTTTGGCATGGCTTAAGGGTCCCCCTCACTTCCAGCCTAAAGTTGGAAACGATGCAGCAACCACAAACCATGGGAAATATAACAAGTAGAAAGAGAATAAACATTCTTGCATTCTTACCTCGTGTCGCCAAGTAATTAGACAGCTCGGGGTCTGTTTTCTTATCTTGCTCAGAACAGAACACTCTGCTGCTCCAGCATAGCGGAATCACTGGTCTTATCGATGCAGACTTACCCATCCGCGATCCTGTCTCACATGCATCTGCAACTTCCAAGAGCTGGAAGCGGTGATGCCTCCTATTGTGGAACCAGGCAGGTGGGTGATGAGTGGTTGCAATAGATCAGCTCTCCCAAGTCCTACATCAGTGAGGAGCAAAGCTGGAGCCGTGGCCAGGCGTGAGTACACCTCCTAGAGGACACAACACTTGGACTGTTCTCCTGAGCAGGTGGCCTAACAACTACTTGCATCGAGACCTTATAAGTTCCAATTCCAAAGTACTTGTGAGCTGCACCTTTACCACAACCGATGACTTAACAATGCAGGCTCACCAACATGAGCGTGTTGTCCCTTGAGACCAGCAATCCTCTATATATGTATGCTCGTGTCAGCTATCCCAAGGGGGCCAAAGCACTCCTACTGTCATACTGACCTCAGTCCATATGGGTGTTGGTTGGTCTTACAAGGATCGACACACTGTTAGTCGATAGTGAGCAGGTAGAAGTGGCAGCGACTCTCCTGGTTTGGTCCGTCTGCTCTAAATTTGTCGCTATGGGTTAGCGATTGTGTGACTGCCTTCTCTCTCAGCTTAGCCAACGCTGCCGAATCTGTCTATTGTGACTGTTCCAGCAGGGATTTGTGGGGGAAAAAAGTATGCAAAATGCAGTCAGATTCATCCGAAAGCATGCCTGCATTCAACACTATTTTGCTAGGTTATGTTGGCGTAGAGAGTTCAAATCCCTACAAATCGTTGCACCCTTCTGGAACTAAAAGAACATTAAAGTTGGAAAAGACGAAGAGTCGAGCACCACTTGCATGCATCCTGTGGAAGAGGCGTGGGCGGATCAAGACGCCTGGAATTAAAGAAAACGAACACTTGCATGTGTTTCATCCGTCTCCTATAATAAACACTAAGCACCACGAAAGGTTCACTCAGTCATGTGCAGTTCGAAAGAAGTTAGGGGGCAGGCTGAGTAGAACGAGGTAGGCTTGCCCAAAAACCTACCTACAAAGGTGCCGACCACATGGGTTGCACTACCAGACGACGGTGAAAAGGAGAACACATAAACGCATCATGAGAGAGAGAAGAGAGTCGAAGGAATTGAGTGACGTCAGCAGGACAAGGTTTCTTTGAGACAAATCTTATCTCCAAACTCAGTTGAGGAAATCTATGGCTTTCTTATCCTTTTCAACAGTACTATTATGAACAGTTAAATTTGGACAAAAAAAGATAACCAAAAAAAAAAAAAAATCACCCGACTTGATGATAAATATACACACACACACACACATGCAATATTGACAAAAGTCCACTGTGTGGGTAGATTTGCTATAGATAGAATCTGCAGAAAAGTTGATCCTGACCAAAACTTAGGCCTTCCTACATATTATTCCTCTTGACGTGCACTTGTGGATCTTTGTAGTCAGAAGTAAAAGCACCGAGTTCAGTGTTGGTTTCGTGGTCATACACCGAACCGGTAAATACGGAGGGCCAAATTGGGTTCACGGTCGATTCAATGTCGCAAGAAGATGATGAGCATCCGTCGGAGAGACAGCAGGTAAGATATAATAAACCAAACCCAACTCTAATGATTCAAATGTATGTAACCCAACCAGCCACATGGAATGGAATCGCTCGGTCTCGTCCTGTATGGTTCTGAAAAAGCCACAACGGCAGCACTCGCTCCTTTAAAGTAGCAGCATGCACAACCTGATCATTCCTTATCACTTGATAATGTAGGGAGCTACAGAGACTTGATTCTTCCTGTCCGCCTTCGTCTTGATAATGTACCTCTGTTGTGTCGCAGCTCATCGAATTAGGCCCCCTCTCCCCGAATCCAAATTCTATATTTTAATCGAATTAGATGTTAATTTGTGTCATTGAGATTTATTCTGCTACTGTGAGACGCATATTTTTCTACAAGCTTCTCTGCAGCAACTACAACACTCTCGTCGTCTCCCATATATACCAACTTCCCGTGCTCTTCTTTCCCCCTCCCCCTCGCTTCTGCTTCGTTTCTAACATGTCCATGAACCCCCTAGCGCGACATCATCCGCAAGCTTGGACTTGGGAGGAGTCTCCCATGATCAACCCACGCCAGTACTTCCATTACACGTACCGAGTAGGGCAGGAAGGAGTCGAGCATGAGAGGGAGCATATGTTTGAGAAGCCCCTGACTCCAAGCGACGTAGGCAAACTCAACAGATTGGTCATACCGAAACAGCACGCTGAGAAGTACTTCCCCCTCGACGGCGACTCGGGCGAGAAAGGCCATCTTTTGAGTTTCGAGGACGAGTCTGGCAAGCCATGGCGGTTCCGCTACTCGTACTGGACCAGTAGCCAGAGCTACGTGCTGACCAAGGGCTGGAGCGGCTTTGTCAAGGAAAAGAGGCTCGATGCTGGCGACGTCGTCTTCTTCGAGCGTCTTCGGCACCGCGGCGACCGGTTCTACATTAGTTGCAGGCGGCGCAGTGAAGATGAGAGCCCACCGGCAGCTTGCACTTTGACCATGGCCAACGCGGCAGCTCCGTGGATCCCCATGTGCTACACGGCGAGAGCTTCATCGACCACGAGACTCGCTCTTCGCGCAGGTAGGATTTTGCTGCATTGCGGCACCATTTAGTGCCAAGTGACTGATTCACATGCTGATAGATTGGCGAAACGCATCCGTTTACAGATGACGAGGTTGATGTAGTGAGAAGCAAGGCGATGGGACGTCCGACTCACTCTAAGCGTTTGAGATTGTTTGGCGTCAATTTAGACTGCGTGCCGGAGCTAGAGACGCAGTTGGTTCTTGCCCCAGAAACAGGGCAAGTTCATGCCCACCAAAACCTCTAGATATCAACTGCAGGTTGCCAATTCATCCGTCTCCTAAGAGGACGAAGAATGCTACTTATTTCTGATTCTTGTTGCTTAACGTAGTACATTTTGCTCTGAAACTAGTTTGTGGTTGCATGCTTAGGAGTAGATGGATGAGGGAGGATGTTGTGGAGGAAGTGAAGTGGAAGAGAGATGAGGAGATCCGAGGCCATGTTCCCAAACTCCACCAACCTACCCTCCCCTCTCCCAAGTGACGTTTTGGGTTGACTCGACCACCCTGTACGGGCCCTGTCGGTCGATGTCCTCATGGATGGGATACTACTTACCGGGTGAGATCTCAGGAAACATCAGATCGAAAGGAAACAGCAGCAGTACCTCTAGATAACCTTAGCCAATGTTCTTATATTTGTAATCCTCTCAAAAAGAAAGAAAAAGAAGGAAGAGATCATCTTGTGGTAATTGATTTTTGCTGTCATTTACTTTCTTATCATTTCACACTCGCAGTAGAATGTAAGAGGATAGGATGAACACAGACGCGACTCCTTGCGGAATCATATCATAGAGATCACAAGAAAACGATCGTATGGTGACGAAAGGTGTCGTCCTTAGAATTATCAAATGAACTCAGCGGCATGACATAACAGTAAAAGCGTGCAGATCATAAGAAAAGCGAAGTGGGAAGAGACGTCAGGATACATTTGAAGGACAAATATGACAAGGACACGACGATGAGCAAACGATGCAGTAGGAAATGATGGAGATGATCATGCATCAGATGAGAGGTCCACTCCGCGGAAAATGAATCCATTGAGGGCCTACAAAATGCCTCCCACTATATGCTCCCATCTCCATCTTTTCTTTGACAAGTCACTGCCATCATCAACCTAACCTGTAGCATGGTCCAACCATGATGGCTGCTGCCCTCATGTGAGGTCTCTTCTTTTCTTCACCCTCCCTCCCTCCCTCCCTCCCTCAAATTATTCCTCCTTTCTGTGTGTCTGCAAAGCTTCCCAACCAGCTTTTTGTGAATGAGTGTCCATGCTTTTTGGAAAAGAGACAAGGAAATGATCTTTATTTATGATTCATTCTCAACAAAGAGATTTTTCTTTTTCTTAACATAAAAAAAGGCATAAAAAGAATAATTTAAAAGAATCACGCTCTCAAATACAAACTAGATAAAAGTTAATATATTTCATGGAAATATAATAACTTGTATCTCATGGAAACTTGGCTTTTATCAATCATGTATCAAATGTCAAGTTCTAGATTTGTCCAACACTTGGATGCGGTGTTCGATCTATTACTTGCCATGACTTATATCTCATGGCTTGATGTCGAGGATTATTCATTGACCCATAAATTATTGGTCGTGATAATCGTAGCGGGCTGTCGGGATTTTAATGATGGGCTCGAATTTATGTGATTTGGGTTGCGGCTCACCCAACCGGAGTTCGCACCGGTCCGTCCACTTAGCAAGCCGTGGGCTATTAGTTCAGAATTGGATCGATTAGGCTTCTTTGGGTGTGGATGAGCAGTCGTTTAGGTGTTTCGAGTGTGATCGAATCTCCTTTGGTTTGATTTGGGTTCGGACTCACGTTTCGGATGTTGATTTGTTCGAGAATGAGTTCGTGCATTGTGTTTCACACTTCGAACAACGTTGTAGAGATAGAACGGAAGTTATTTTCATGATTCTTGAGTTTCTAAAGATCCTTTGTATGAATGCAAAATTATTTTTATTTTTCATTTAGAGAGCGATCTATCTATCGGTCGAGAAACTCAAAAAGATCGGGTTGATATCGATGATTCTAATTTATATTCTAGTGGTCCGATACATCTAGAATTCAGATTTAATCTAAGTTTAACTTTCATGCTCATCATATGTCCGAGACTAAAAAGACAAGAGATTCGGATGGATTGAGATGGAATAAAAAGTTTTATTGCGGCAGCAATTATTCTTCTTTAAGAGACTGTGAAAGAGAACTCTAAGACAAATGGTTGACCTCATCCACTGGCTCGGATAAGAAGTGTCTTCAGCCTAATCTTTGGAGCCCCGTCTCGTCAATGGCGTCCATCGTTAGTGCTCGAGGAGAGCATCCATTTGGTTGGCTATTTGCATGATCTTCCACTGCGGAACTAAACGTGATGGCCATTTGGTTGGCTTTCCACATCAACACAAGGTATTTCTCCATTTTGTACCTAATCACGCAAAACATGTGTTTTAATATTAGTTATATTATCGACAACAGTACATCAAAATCTATCTATTCGATTGGGATATCGACTCGGAGTCAATTGAGTCATATTTTATGTGAACGATTTGGAAAAATATCAACTCATGCAAAACATATGTTTTAATATTAGTTATATTATTGATAATTATTATGTTAAAAATCTAATTATTCAATTGAGATGTTGACTCGGAATCAATTGAGTCATATTCTGTTCTTGCCTTTGAAGAGGGCATACTCGACATAACCGCTTTAACAGTCTAAGGAATGAAGTGTTTGCAAAATATTAAGAGTGTTAGAGTTGAATTATTAAAGAAGCTATAAATATTATGTAGGAGAACATCCATGAGGAGGCTCTTACACCGTTACGCTTATAGATATGTATTGATGCTAGGGATGATTACGTACATCTCTTGACCCTGTTGAATTTGTTAGACATACAACAACTATGATGTTGTTAATAATGTCAAGAAGACGAGGATCTATTAGCAATATAAAGTAGAAATAAATATTAGGAATGAATCATCGATAAGTATTAGTCGTGTGACGTCAAAATATTAACAACATGACTGTTGAGATATCAAATATATGCCCAATGAAATGAAAGTGTTAATCACATCATTATTTTTCTATCAACAATTAATGTACTAAATCTAACACGTATTCTTGATATGATAATGCCATCATCGATTGGATCATTAAATTTTATAATATTCCTTTCGTATGTATAAAATTTGACTTGATATGATAATATCATCACCTAGATTATTATATTATACAATATTCCTTGTGGATAATGAAAAGATAAGAAGTTGATAGACTTTGACCGTGCCACTATAAGATTTAGCTATACTTAGTTTAATGAAATCCTTTCATGAATCATGTGACCACTAAAGGTAAGACTCTCTTAATCTTTGTTTTATATCTTATACATATAAATATCTTTGTATACTTATGATCTTTGATTTGTCAAACAAATATTTTAATATGTCATAATTTTATGATTATGATATAAAAAATATATAATGATATGATTTCCACCAACGAGGAGAACATTAGCATAATACTAATCTTGCATGTGATGATTTCAAACTTTCTTCAAGGTAGTGCCTTATTTTGCCCATGTTATCGGTGGAGAGTTCATGATTGTGGACCTTGAGAGAAGCATCATCTAAAGGAGGATTTATTAATACTAATTGTTAGTAATATGATAATAATTGTTAGTATAAAAATCATCCTTATACTTCTGTTATGCAAAAAAAAAATCCTAAATGCGAAAATTTGAGATCAAATAACATAATATCAAATTTACGATGAATGTCTTTCGATATCATTCAGAAAACTTTTATCTGATCTATGAATGCACCGTCATTAGATTTAAAAGTTATAGAGATGTCGATCTACAAAGAGAACTATACTTACATTTTCTTCTCTTTTTATCATTCACATGATCATTTTAAACAATAGATTAAGGTCAAAGGGGAGATGAGAAAATTTGTAATATCTAATTGACTAATTCACGTGACTAAAGAGAGATAGAAAAAATATATAATCTCTCTCAATAATATCATATATCATTGTCTCCTCTTATCTTATCTACATATGCGAGTATCCATGTGTTTTTAGTCCCTAAAAGATCTTATGTATTTATAAACAAGAACGGAGGGATTAATAGTTAAGAAAGTAAATTTCATCAAACTAGTCTTCTAAAGAATCTTATTATAATTATATTTTTTTTATTTACTGATAATCATAATTATAATCTAATCATATCCAATAATACATCTTATTTAATTAGATAAAATCATATAATATAACAAAACTTACTTATCACGTCTCGTCAGCTCTCACAGGCAAAGCATTTGCTACCCTTGAAGGGCTTTAAGCAAGCCATGCATCAGAACCTACGTCACCGAGTCTAGACTCCCTCTACCTCGTCAACTTCATCAACTCTACTAAATGAGACCCATCGGGGTCTCCAACCCATAGTTTCATGCATCCATTTGCTTGCTTCCAGGTTGAATTTTGTTCATCTTAAGCATTATTACTTTATAACTCTAATTTTTATATGGGGAATTACCAACCCCATTTTTTGTGATCCTCGGTGGATGTTAGCTTTGGGACAAACTAATTAATTTCCCCTCAACTAAAACGCGAATGACGTCTTCGGTAAGTCAACAAGTAAAAACTTAAGATGGAAGGAACATAAGTAAAACATGGTAGATCTCATTGCTTCCTCGAAACGCCATCAGTCTTTTCCCGCATGCGTCATCGTCGTGCTGACCCAAAATGTACGTATCACAAGTAATCATCAAACTTATATGCGAATCTACTCAGCCTAAAAGTGAATCATAGACCAATGTTCAAATAGAACATGTATGCTTTTTAGCACCCACAACTGAAAACGAATCGTTTGACTTATCCCGGACAAAGTAGGAAGACAGGTTTAGCCCACCTTTCACTTGCAACTTTCTGAATGATACGAGAAGATATCTTCCGAGGAGAAAAGAAGATTTGATGGGATTAGGTCTGTGCAAAGGATAGAAATGTGTACATCTTTTGATTGACACATCATATCGAATCAAAAATCCAATGCCATCTCGAGCGACTAGGAGTGGAAATTAAAAGCGCATGGATTTGGTTGAGATGCAGCTTCTCTTTTTGTTTCTTTGCCTCTGCTACTTGTTGAGTGTCAGATATACTTTTTGAAAATGAGTGTTACTTCCAAATGAAATCAAATCAGGAGGGAAATGGTATTATTATTAGCCATTAGGGGGTAGATTATAAATCCATAACATGCTAAGAAAGTAGGGATTATGTACAGCCTCCCATATATTGTATTATATCACTCGTCTACTATTCTTCAGTCGAATTTTTCGGGTATTTTTTACCATAATTTCTCGGATAATTCTGAGCTGGTAAACCGCCTTCATGTTTTCGAGGCTAGTCTCATATAATCATTTAGGAATTGGATAATATTCTTCAGATTATCACATGATAACCTTGAAATGCAGTGTTTGCATCGGTCATCCGAATCAATGACAGCAGCATAAGTCAAAATAATAATAAAAAACGAATATAGCTGGAATATATCTGGATCATATAGTCTCCCTAAAATAGGATACAAAAGCTACTATGTTACAGCTTTGGAGTATATAATGCTTTTGCTTTGCTTGTTTTCTTCCAGCCCGTTTCACTGTTACTAGTTCTTTTCCGTCCATTGGAACTGTAACTCCCCATCTAATCCAACTTACAGAGGAAGAGAAAAGAGACTCGTACAAAAACGGGGCTTTCCCCCGAATCACACTTGGAAACCACAACCACCACCACCACAATCTTTTCCCGCAGGATGGCTGATGCTATCTGCAACTTTTACGAGGCCACCATTTTCTTCTGCGTCATAGCTGGCATGCACGCTGTAAAAGACATAGACGAGCACAGTAAACGCGGAAAAGAAGGCGAACCGCAGGTACGACGGCCCATCGAGCGAGCCCAACAGGAACACGTTGAGGAATATGGACACGGCCGGTATCCACGGCATCAGCGGCACCCCCCAGTGCTCCGGCTTCCGAGCCTGCGGCACCAGGTAGTTGAAGACCTGGAGAACGGCGACCGCTACCACCGTGCAGCCGCCGAGGAGCACCGCCTTGGCCAACCCGGCGGGCGCAAATTGCCATATCAGGGTGAATGTGATAGAGACGGAGGAGAAGGAGAGCAGGAAGGATATGGTCGGCCAGGGGTTCGTCGAGCCCACCGCGACGTAGCGCCGGTACACCACGGCGTTGCCTACCATGTAGAAGACGAAGAGCGTGCCGATGGATACGAGATTGAGGAGGACGTTGAGGTCGGTGAAGAGAGCGATTGCCGCCGTAAAGACTCCTGCATCGTTCGATAGTAAAAAGAGATCAATCTCATCATGTATGGTCACTAGCTATTATCAAGACAAGAGGAAGATCACCAAAAACGAAGGCTCGGCATCTGTGCAACAATTTCTTTATGTAACGCGTTTTTGTGGATGGAATTTGCTTGATCCACCACCGGTTGGTAGATCTCCCACTGCGACTGGCTCGCAAATGCCTTCATGTGTGCGTGGGGACGTGTGTCGCTCTCACAGGCACATATAGACAATTGATCAAAAAGAGAACATTGCAGCTTATGTGATGCGACTATTCGGCTCGCACCTCGAGTTATTCGCTCTCAATCAACGTGTCAATTTGTCATCCCAACAATAACCATCGTACACTAACCGGTCTTAGCCACATGCATAGGGATAACCATGATCATAGGTGCGCCACTTTATTGTCGCTTTACCACGGACGAAGACAACAACATAGTGGTGCATGATTTATAGATCTTATCTGCATATTACTGATCGGACAGACGACGGTAAAATCATGAGCACATGGCCCTTTTGCCAAAACCGTACGTGTGACTTCGAGAGAGGACGGTGCAGAATTCAGATGGATGGTAGCGGACAAAAGTATGGAAAGAGGAGAAGTATGGGAGAGAGAGAGAGAGAGAGAGAGAGAGAGAGAGAGAGGCTGACCGAGGAAAGCGGAAGCGTTGACGGGGGTGGCGGTCTTGGGGTGGACGCGGGCGAGCCATGCGGGGACGACGCTGGACCGTCCGATGACGCAGAGGTAGCGTGCCTGGCCCAGCATGGAGACGAGGAGTGACGTCAGGATCCCGAAGCTGGCCCCCACCCCTATCACGTTCGACACCCATCCCCAGCCGTCCGATCCTCTGAACGCCGCCGAGAACGGTGACTCCTCGTCGATCTGGAGTACATACATGCATGTTCACTCAGGTTAGTCCTTATCATCATCACTGTGGACAGGGAAGCAAGCCCAACGAAATCACGAACCCCTGGCCCGCCGTGTCCATCCGGAGTACATACACGTCCACCAGTGTTCTTATTTTGCTGTCGGTAAGTCACTGTTGAAACACTATCATCCCTACTGTTAACAGCGAAGCAAGCCCAACGAGATCGCTAGCCCCTGGCCCACCGATCAACGGCCGACATCGGCTTTAAAAGTACTGAAGCTACTAAACGATAAGAGCATTGCTTTGGACGCCGATAAAAGAAACCAAAGGTTGACGAACACCAAGGGCGAATCAATAGGAAAGCGAGCCTTTCACGGTTAAGTGTGAGATTTATTTGGGTTTCTGTATGGGTCGATTACGTGGGTGGACAGATCGTTTCTGAAACGACAAATACTTCCGTCCCACGGGCTTCACGTCCCAACCGTCTCTTATACCCACCCGGAAAAGAACCCTTGTGGGTCCCACTTAAAATAACGAGAGATGAAAAAAGGAAAAACAAAAAAAAACAAAGCAGTGCGGTAACTTACGGCGTCGTAGGGAACGAGCATGGACATTGAGGCGGCCATGAGACAGTAGAGGAGGGTGACGAGGGCGACGGAGCCGGAGACGCCGATGGGGATGTCGCGGGCGGGGTTCCGCACCTCCTCCGCCATGGTGGAGACGGCGTCGTAGCCGATGTAACTCAGGTAGACCATCGCTGCCCCGTTGAACACCCCCGCTATCCCGTAGGGTAGGAACCCGCCGTTGCTCTTCGCCGGGTTGGCCGGGTGCCTCAGGTTCCGGGTTTCCCCCCGCCAGAACCCCACCACGATGATGAACAGGATGAACGCGATGTGGGTCGCCGTCAGCACCATGTTCAGCACCGAGCTCTCCTTGGTGCTGCACCCAATCCAATAATTCCCAACAAAAAGAAAAATAAACAAAGCACTCAGAAAAAGTGGAATTTGCAAGGGTGGAAAACTAAAATTCTCCATTTTCACAGAAGCAAATCGACTAGGAATTTTTCCACTATTTATGAAAAAGCAGCGACCTTTCCAATAAAATATGCATAACAGGAAGCGAAGCGTAGGAAGGAAGAACAACCACACAGAAGGAAGACGAAGCGGTAGTAATTGATGGATATGATGGGTGACACGAAACGACGTAGTGCGATACTATTAACTATCCATATAAATGATACGTGGAGCAGAACAAGACAAACGAAACGGGGAGAAAGGACGGGGACATAAGGCCGAGCGGCTCGGTGGTGCCGACAAGTAACCCACCTTAACAGGACGGCGACACATGGAGCGACAACAGCTGTCTCTTTTCTTTCGGTTAATATAATAGGAACGGCGGCGCGGTTTACCTGTAACAGATGCAGATGGAGACGAGCAAGACGACGGCCAAAGCCAGGAGATCGATCTGGTTGAAGCCTTCGGGGAGGCCGACGACGGTGATCCTCCACTTGGCGGTGGTGTCCACGCTGATGGCCGTCCCAAGATAGGCGGTGAAGCTGCGCGCCACGGCCGCGTTGGAGAAGACGTACTCCATTATCAGATTCGCCCCCGTCAAAAAGGCCGCAAATTCCCCTGTATAACAACAGACACGAAGAAGAAGATATAATAAAGCCAAAGAGAAGAAAGACGCGGAATAAAACCAAACAAATTACAGATCAAATCATATCCGTGCTGAATTCCCTTGCAGAAATTTACAATAAAATATTAAGAATAATATTAGCAGAAACTAAAATTCAACCAAAATTGTCAAAATCCCACTTTGCAGAGAAAAGAAAAGAAAGACATCGAACCACGACGATAAGAAAAAGGAAGGAGCAACTGCAGGAAAGGTAGAGTTGCAGAAAATTAATTGGCACCGCAATAAATTACTCACCGAAGGTGACCCTAAGGTAGCTGAAAGCCCCGCCGGCGACGGGCATGTCGACGGCGAACTCAGTGTAGCATAAGGCAGAGAGCAGGGCGCAGAGCCCGGCAATGGCGTAGGAGAGCACGATGGCGGGGCCGGCGCAGATACGGGCGGCGCGGCCGGTTGCGACGAATACGCCGGCGCCGACCATCCCACCGAGCCCCAGCCCGACGAGGTCTGGCCACCGCAGCGACCGCGCCATGTCGGCTCCCGACCGGGCCCTGACCCGGCTCATCTCCTCGTAGCTTGTCGTTACCGACCCTGCCCGCCGCCCGAGCCGTCGGTGGGTATCTGCCAGCGCTCGCCCGTACGCCGCGAGGCTCGAAAACGACGACGACGTCTGCGGCGCGGGAGAGGAAGTGGAAGAGGTGGCGTTCGACAGCTGAACCTTCTCCATCCACCTCCTCTATCTTCTATTTCCGACTCGTGCGTTGTGTGTGTGTGTGAGAGAGAGTGAGCGAGAGAGAGAGAGAGAGAGCGAGTGCGAGGAGAGAGGAGGGGATAACATCTATTTATATAGAGAGAAGAGGGGAGATAACGGCGAGTAACGTGACGGAGGAACGGCGAAGAAGACAAAGAGAGATTTATGTGCAAGCGAAACGGTCGCTGCAAAGCCCATAAAGGTTGTTTGGCGTATGCGCTGGTGGGTAATTATAACGACTACAGTTTCTCTGTCTCTCTCACTCTCTCTCTCTCTCTCTCTCTCTCTCTCTATATATATATATATATATATATGTTAATGACTAGATGAATTATTAATCAGGAAAGGAGTAAAATGAGAGCAAAAAGAAAAGAAAAAAACAAGATTTAGTAGACGCACTAGCGGTTGTCTTCACGATTGATACCACACGCTCATGGTTTGATATGAATGGGACCCAGCTGCTCGTTTGGGCATGTGTGTGGAGTCGAGCGATCTGAGACAAACAAGTGGGCAAAAGGGTTGCGAGATGTGCAGGACGATACATGTAGATAACAGGATAAAGTTTGGCGTGGAAATGAGAAAGGATCGGACAACTGCTCCAACTCCAACTGGTGTTACGGTGAGCTACCTGTTCATTCTTTTTGGATCATTTATTAGGCCATATTTCGTTTGATTGTGGTTGGCGTCATCAAATTCAATGAACGAAGCTGGCGTTATGTAGGTTCATTCACTGTGCATCATTGTTATCGTCTTCGACAACGATGGATGGAGGATCCGGAGGTTTGGATGGGCCCACATACGGCGTGAATCCGTGATGGCAAGGCTGTCATGCTGTTGATGGATGCAGTGTGCGTGTGGAGGATGGCTTTCACTCAAATTTTAGCTAAACTCCAAACGCAACATAGTATGTCTATTATATTTTTCTATTTTATTTTATTTATATATAAAACAAATTAGCCCTTTCTTCTTTATTATTATTATTATTATTATTTAATAATTAGGTAATATGTTGAGTCATAAAATAGCTTGTTTGTATTTGCATAGGATACATAAATAATCCTAACACCATTCCTTGGTTTTCGAGAGGTTGATATTTTTGTCATCAGTTATCGAGCTCAATGTATTTAGATTTATTTATATTCTTAGGATCCATGCTCCAATTATTCGAGGAACTGATTTTAATATTGTAATAGATCAGACTTTAGATGATCTTTCTTTTCTTTACTCTGAAAAGAGATTAAAGATGGCTTAGAGAAAAACTGGAAGCGTTCGATTGTAGATCGAGTGACCAAACAAAAAAAAAAAGCATAGATGTATTTAATTCCATAATATTTGTCACAGTGTGTACTCTGCTGTACTTACTTTGGCGTATGTTCAAAAAGCCGATGAGGTGATCCTTGCGGAAACAGGCACTGCCCACAGACACCCATCGATCCCTTTTGCCACCACAAAGCCTACTTTGTGTGGTGGAGAACATGACTGTTTTTTATGAGAGCGATGAGGTAAGCGATTCGCGGAAGTACTGCACATTCCCATAATTGAATATTTGAACGGACGTGGTTTTGATCCAAAAAGCGCAATGGGGGATGAATGAATACATACATTCATGCGCAGGCAGCAGCAGCAGCAGCAGCAGCAGCCTCTCCGTCATCCAACTTGCGCCCTATTAGTGCACGAGCGACGGGCCTCTTTGGCGAGGAGGGAAAGGGAAAAAAGGAAAAGCGAAACAAAACAACGCAAAGCAAAGCAACGCTTGATCATTTGGCGGAAAGAATGCACCGAGTAAAGGGAAAACTAAAGCGTAGCATACGCAGAGAGAGAGAGAGAGAGAGAGAGAGAGAGAGAGAGAGAGAGAGAGAGAGAGACTCAAAGTCAAATTGGGTTACATGTATGAGAGCACCTCAGGAATCGAGAGTTCCAAAGCTCGGTGATTACGGAGGAGGAGGGCTCATCCCCCCGCTGGTGATTGGTGCAGTGCAGCTACATCTCTTGCCCAATCATCAACTGATCGATGGGTGGTCCAAATCGAGGGTTATTTTCGTGATCGGGACCACCGCATCCGCGTGATCCAAATTAATGAGTGTGGGTTGGATAGGGGGCTCTTCGTAAGCCGATGGGTCAAACCCTGCTGCTATTCTTTTTTTTATTCTTCTTCTTCTTCTTCTTCTTCTTCTTATATAACAAATTATTTTATATAATTATTTTATTATTTTAATGAAAAAAAATTTTTTGGAACGAGATTCGATCTTAGAACCTTCTAGAACAGATAACGGTTATATCCATCATCTCCTACCCATTCTAATATTTTTTGTAAACATTACTTATCAATTTGACTAATTGGCAGTATTTATTTATTTACTTTAATTAAATATATAATTTAACATCTTTATATAAATAAATATAAGCACAGAAGGTTTCGAATTTATATGTTGTTTTTAAGATTTCATGAATATATTTTTTATGGGACATGTTATGACAAAATTCTATCCGAATTAAAATCCCAATTCAACTATCCAAACCCAAAACCAAACATATGACGTGGATAGACAGTCACCACATCATTTAAGAGTAATCACAATAAATCGGAACCCACCCACCCACCCGCTACCTAAACCAAAACCCAACCAACTACTTACGTATTTATTTTGCTTAGCACAAAGGACAATACTCTAAGAACATACCATAAATTTATATATTTCATTGCTGCAACTTGAGATATCTCATCTCACTAGCTAATCCCAAAACCTCTACATCCGTGTATAGATAGATAGATGCCGATCGAGTGAGCATTCATGCAAACCTGGGAAAGCTCTCATCGCATCGCATCGCATCTTCATGATAAGTCAACCAATTACATCCCAAATCAATCACGCGAGGAGAAATCACAATATCCACCAAACCACAATCTAATGAGGAGGACAGGTAGATGTTATATGTGATTCGGCATGCGAAGGCGTGCGATTCCTTGTGCACAATTTGTTGACTCCATCCCCATAGTCCCATCCATTTCGATACAGACACCAGCAACTATGTGTGGGGGGATGGATGCTATGCTATGGGTAGTGGATCTTGTCGTGTGCCATGTGTTGGCCTATCTTTTTCGCGAAATCCCCAAGCATTTCCTGCGTATCACTTCCTGACTTAAGTCACGATTTACCCTGGGCCGACTTTCCATGACACGACATGTGTCTCGATTCGGGACGCGCAAGTGCCTTGTGACTTGCGTCGCATTTATTATCGTGAGTTGGGATGTGTCTCAAGCACGACACGAAGGGTTTTCCACGAGGCAACCACAGTGCGCCGACTTCACACGTGACCCGACGCCTTTACTTTCTTTGGCTCATCGTAATGTAATTATACATAAGACGCTCTCTAATTCGGTTTCGAAATAAACGATTTTTTATTCGATCGAATTTAGAATAGAAACTTCATCAATGTTTTCTTTTATTTTTCTAAATTTTTAATTAATTATTTATTAAGCTATTCAATATATATATAATATTTATTTTTATCCTAATTTAACCTAATATATATATATATATATACTATATTTACATGGATAATCCTCTTAATTTCGATTATAATATCTACTCCTCCAATTGTTTTCGACACCACTCGCTGTCATGTCCGTCGCCGTTGTTACTGTTGATTCATTCTAAATGCCGATTCCACTGTTATTTTCATCCAAAATCCTTGCCGTACTCCACTCACTATTGATGCGATGGCGAAGAAGCATTTGAATCAGACATTTAGTAAGCACACTCCACTCACCGTAGATAAGTATGAGAAGAGATTGGGGAGAGAGAGGGCGTGGAGAATGGGCGCCACACGCCGCCGTGGAAGCTTCCCCGACATTAAAAGAAAGAGGACAAAGCGTTTGTTAGACGGCCTCTCTGACTGCGATGCCTCTGTTGGAACTTTCCTTGCGGCCTCAACATTTTATCATCTATAATAGCAATTTTTTATATCTAAATTGATTCATTTTTTAAGCTTATATAATAAGATTTCAAACCCATTATCTATGCTAATTTCGAGATGTGACATTACTTTTTTTTTTTTTGTTAATGACAATTCATTTTCATCATCCATTTTCAATATTGGCATAACCATTTCTCAAACTATTTTGTGAGGGTTTGTTTAAGGGAGAACAATCGATCTACACTTCGGTTGACTCTTTATGCTGAATTGGATAAACACTATTATTGTATATGCATGCGAGCAGCAGAACCTATCAAAGGGGTTGAAAATTTTGGTTTGCTCCGACACTTTGTAGCTCTTTAATCGCATTCGAGTTCTTTCTTGTTTTAGTTTGTGGAATAAAAATCTATAGCAAGTCAGTCATATATATATATATATATATATATATCACATATTAATATTTTAGATATAAAATTATAGAAAAAAAATCTTAAACCTCCATCTAGCGAGATATATATAATAGGATGAGACTTGAAGCCTTAAACAGAGCCATGCATCTCATTCGATTAATATTTTATGTGTAAAATAAGATTTTAATTTTTTTTTATCTAAGATAAGTATTCGATGGATCATCATTAAACTAATATTTTACTTATTAAAAAATTATGAAATAAAGTTGTGAAGTTAAGGACGAGTGAGGTGTATCGTCACGACGTGTTCAAACGTCGATCTCAGCTTTTCGGGAAAGGCTCAATGGTTTGCTTCGTTTCGTATACGCTTGCTCGATGTTTAGTTGACGTGCGTGGTTTGACTCTTAATTTTCTGTAATTATCTTACCTTGTTGCCGTGATGCTTCATAAACTTCACGTGGATTTTGTGTCGATGTTTGGACTAGTTGATTTGCTTTCGGAAGAGGGTAAGTAGCAAAGGGTAATAATTCCCTCTCCAATCTAAGATCGTAATTATCCACTTACTTGTGCGAGTGAACGTGAAATGGATGGCTGAGACGTAAAAAGATGGTGGAGAAAAGAGATGAGTGAGTGAGGGAGATATAAATGCATCTAAAAGAACAAAGGCTGAAATGTTAGGCCCTGTTGGCTTGAATCCAAAGGCTTCATGGATTTTGT